TTTTTTTTTTTTTTTTTTTTTTTTTTTGGAGAGAGTGGAAGCAGGGGAGAGAGAGGGACACAGAGAGAACTGATGTACAAATGACACATCAATTGGTTGCCTCCTGCATGCACCCTGACTGGGGCCAGAGATCAAACCTGCAGCCCAGGTACATGCCCTTGACCGGGAATCGAACCCACATCCCTTCGGTCTGTGGGCCGACGCTTTAACCACTGAGCTACTGGCCAGGGCCCAGACTGTTTTTATGAAAGTTCTTGAGAATCATCATGTAACACTTCTGCTTACATTGTATCCACCAGAACTGAGTCACATGTCCATGTCCATCTGTAAGAGAGAATGGGAAATGTTGACTTCATTCTGGATGGCCACATACATGACCAAAAATTCTGTGACCATGAGAGAAAGGATAATATACACTGGGAGACAAGTGGTAACCTCTACCTCACCCACTTGGAGAGTTGTGGTAGGAATTAAATGAGGTGATGTATACAAAGTCCTTTCAAGATACCTCATAGGGCTCGATGAACGATCAGTTCTACCACCATTATCCTGTTTGGAGAAAGGGGAGGGTCTCAAAAGAAGGAGTTGAGGCCTTTCTCTGAACTACGAGGGGCCCACTTGGGATGTGGAAGGACAATGCTAGGGTCTTGAAGCTACGATAGGTTAGAAAGCATTTCCCTCTCCTTTAATCAGTGGCACTTTCTCCCTCCTTTCTTGCAGGAGCAGATCTTGTGATTAATGAAGTGATGTGGTGGGACCATGGAGTGTATTATTGCACCATCGAGGCTCCAGGGGACACATCAGGTGACCCAGATAAGGAGGTGAAGCTCATTGTCCTACGTAAGTGCTGTGGGAGCTTTCTATGTGTCCTCCCCACCATGACACTTTTTTCATACATAAAAAAAGCAAAAAAAAACAAAAACAAGCAAGCCCAGGTTATTGTTTTTGGATTGCCAGTCTCTGAAGTTCCCTTACCAAAGCTAAACTTTTTTTTTTTTTGCAGTATATTGCTCAACCTTCACCTGTAGGTCAAGAGCTGTAATTATTAGACCTCTAGAATGTTGGAGCTGCCCCCATGTATTTAGTTTGACCCCTGCTTGGCTTTTCCCCTGCAGACTGGCTGACGGTGATCTTCATCATCCTGGGAGCCCTCCTCCTGCTCCTGCTGATTGGTGTGTGCTGGTGCCAGTGCTGTCCCCAGTATTGCTGCTGCTATGTCCGATGCCCATGCTGTCCCGCCCGTTGCTGCTGCCCTGAGGAAGGTGAGAGGGTGGACACACAGTAGGATGGGGTGCTGCTGGGTCTGGTGCCCCAGACAGATCAGCTTCAAAACCTTTAGCTCTTCCAGGTTCTCCTCCATGACCTTCTTCCATCATAGGCTTGGGGATCTTTGGCCTCAGCCCAGAAAATTATCCTTGGGCAAGCTATGCAGTTGAGTGAGAGACTTCTCCTGTCCTCATTCTAGCCTGCCTAAGACCTTCTTCAAATGGCTCTGCCTACTGATGGCATTTCCTCAGTGGCTCTGATATGCCTGTGCTCTGCTGTTTGCTCCTAGCACTGACCTTGCTTAACATGAGCTGGCTGGAGGGACTGGTTTAAATGCAGCAGTGAGAGAGGAGGCCACTCCTTAGAGAGGACTTGAAAAGCAGATCAGAGGAAAGAGGTGTTAGAGCAGTGATCCTCAAACTTAAGAATTACCTAGAGGGCTTGTTAAGGCTTAATTGTTGGCCCCACCTCCAGAGTTTCTGATTTAATTGGTCTGGGGTGGGCCTGAGAATTTGCATTTCTCAAAAGTTCCCAGATGATATGATGCTGCTGGTCTGGGGGCCACACTTTGAGAATCTCTGTGTTAAAGGAAAGGAAAAGGGAGCAGAATATCTTGCTCTTACTGTGATCTTTCTTTGGGCTGACATTTGACTTTTTAAAACAGAATTATGACATGCCCTAAACAGTTTGGCTGTAGAATGCATGGTGAAGGTAAAAGAATAATAAATTATTCAACAATGATCTTTTCTTAGTAAATGGTTGGAATGGAATCATATTCTTTAAATGGAAGTGGTATTTGTGTTTTTAAAATAACATTTCCTTTTCCTGATATAAGTAAAGTATTACATTTGAGAAAATTTGAGAAATTCTAGAGTATGTAAAGACTAATCTTAGCACCCAGAGATAACCACACTTATCATTTTGGTTCATTTGAAAGGGAATTTTTTTAAAGGGAAAAATAAGGAATTGTTCCTTAAAATGGAAACAAAACCTAATCCACAATGTTGAGAAGGTCAGCGGTCTGAGTCTGGTTTCAGGCCTGTGTTCCGAGGTTGCTGTCTTACAGGAAAAGAGAACTAACTTTTATTGGATGTTTGCTCTGTGTAGGCCCTTTGCATATATTTCCCCATTGAATCTTCACAACCCTAGAAGGCAGGAATCATCGCTGTTTAACAGATGAGGAGACTGAAGGTCAGAGAAATCACACAACTAGTAAGTTGCAGTGGTAGTGCAGTGTTGAATCCATGTTCATCTCACTGATAGAGCCTGAATTTCCCACAGTAGAAGCTCCCTACCATTAAGGAGCCTCTCGGAGAGACATCGTGGAGAAGTCACTGTCACCTGAGTAGTAATATGCAGGAAGAGATGAGAAAAAAACCCTCTCAAGGAGCCTTCTGAGAATCCCTAGGTCAGTGGGACACTCAAAACAGGCAGGACTGGGGACAAACCCAGCATAAACGATAAATGTATCCACTGTCAGTCAGCTAATAAACCGGTTCTGGGGGAGAGTAGTTCCTCCTAAATTGTTAGAGTTCATTTAGAAGAACTGGTAAAGTCAAGAAATGCAAATAAAGGTCCCTAGACTTGAGCAGATGACATCACTTCCAAAGTGAGTCACTAGGGCAGACTATCCTGGGAAGTTTGGTGACAAGAGGAGGTTATCCGGAGGGGGCAGAAGTTGTTAAGGAAAGCTCTTGGATAGAGAAAGGTGTGTGTGTGTGTGTGTGACAGTTTTTTGTTTGTTTTGTTTTTAGAATAAGATAATCCTGAACATATTTGTAGGCAAAGAACCAAGGCCTATGGAAAATAAGTAAAGTAAGGTGATCACTGAGGGGAGATGGAGCCAGTGGGAGTGACAGGAGGCTTACAGTGAAATGACTGCCTTTAGAAAGGAAAGGAAAGGCAGCCTGCCCTCTGAAGAGAGAGAGGAAGTCATAATATGAGCAGTGATTAAAGTATAAGGGAGGAAGCTAGGGAGCTCACATTTAACAAATCAAAATTCTAGGCACAGAAGGGAGCTTCAAGAATGATGTCAGTGGTTCTTGAATTTCTCTGACCACAGCGAACCTCCCTCTGCTCCCACTTTCTAGTGAGAGTTACTAGAGGAGCAGAGAGGAGAAAAATGAAAATGACACCACATTTCAGTAACTTGACAATTTGTTTAGCACTAGTAGAACTTAGCACTAGTAGAACCAACCACAGTAGAACTTAAAGATGAAAGTTGGTGAAACTGAACCTTATTTTTTTTCTGGGAGAACTGGAGAAGCAAGTTTCATCCCTAGATTGTTTACTGGCCCCCCTGCCCACAGAACCCCTGGGCACACCCTCCAGTAGGCCACAGGCTGCGCTGGGAATCTCTGCTCTATGCCACGCTCCTCCTCATCCTCCTGGGTGAGGGATGTGAGGCCTCGTGAGACTTTTTCACAAGTACACACAGTTTGTTAGTGGTGGAGCCTGGACTAGAACTAGGTCTCTTAATTCATTGCCCAGGGCAGGTTCCTCTTCCTCAACAAAGATGATGCCATCCACTGAAAGTTCATGAGGAGGGGAAGACATGAGAAGTGGGGTATATTGAAATTGCTGCTCTAGAGGTGGGAAGCAAGGTCTGCAGATCATCAGTCAGGGAAAGTCAGGTTGGGAGGAGGGCTCTTTGAGGTCAGTTGCCCGACAGTGCAGCCAGCTCTGGCGGTGTGGGGCTAGGAAGTATGTCCTGGTGGTTCCCTAAAGCTGAGATGGTAAGAGTTCAAAGGGTGTGGGATTCTAGAAAGGTCCTGAGGATGTTACTGAAATGACTGGCCAGTCAAGTTGTACGGGACTGGTAGTATGGGAAAAAGTGAAAGGACTGCGTGACCATGGGTCAAAAGAAGGCAAAGAATGAGTTCTGGAAAGGTGGAGAGGGGGTGGTAAGGAATGGTGAACAGCTATGAGCAAGTGCAGTTGGAGATCATCAGGGACACCACCGATGATGCCCACAGATGATGCTGATTCAGAGGTCAAGCAGCACAGGTCTCTGGAGGAGGGAGAAGGGCTGAGTGTCATTTCTGTCAGGAAGGAGGCATCTTAAAGAACATGCCCCAGATTTTCTTCAAAAATGAAGATGAATGTGCCTTTGGTGGTTCAGTTTCCAAATATGTACTTTCATTTTCTATGACATCTAAGGCAAAAGAAGCAACATATAACAATTTATTAAAACAATGAGAACCTCTGTCTATCGACTGTCATACATTAGGCACTTCTTGAGTATTACCTCATTTAACCTCAACAATCTCATGAAATAGGTATTATTCTCTTCTCACAGATGAAGAGACTCGGCTCAGACCCTCTGAAAACTCAAAATCACACAGCTGGCACATGCTGGGATGCCAGTTGAAGTCCATCGGATCCTCAAAGCCCATGTTTAAAGAAACGTATCCCTGAGGGTCATATTTCTCCAAAGGTCATTGAGGATCCTCAGTAGTCAACTCCAATTTGACTCTCTGCATTAGAATCAGGGAGCTTGTTGAAAACACTGATTTTCTTGCCTTGCATTAGACTGAGGGAGAGTTTCTGGGGATTGGGATCCAGGAGTCTATATTTTTAACCAGCTCATTAAAGGTGTCCAGGGCAGACTTTACTCCATTGAGGTTCAGAGATAACGTTCTAGGCGTCTTTTGCAGCTTTGTTACTTTCTCCATGTTTCTTATTTTATTGCCTGATTCCCCATTAGGTGAGCAGCAGAAAACCCTGATAGTCTAGACATCCCCATGGGGCTGTTTCCAGAGACAGGATGGCAAGGGAGAAGCTCAGAGGCTGTTTCCCATTCTCATCTCATTAGCTCCAGTGCATCAGGGAAGGAAGGAACCTTGAGGAAAAGGTGATAGCAGTTAAGAAGGGAGCAGGTAGGTGAATCTCTGGAGTATGTAAAAATCTGACAAGGGAGCTCATGGAGGATCTGGAAGGATCTCTAGGGAGTTATTTTTGCAGGGGGTCCCATTAACTTAAAAAGTCATTTGGAGAGCAAGAAATAAGCCTAACTCTCCCTTTCTTTCCTGTTTGGGGAATAGGAGAAGAAAGTGGGCAAAGGGGGAATGGTACCATTTGGAGGAAGCCAGGAGTCAATTAGAGGGGCAGGGGATGTACAGGGTTGTTCCCAATGGAATCAGATGTCCCTAGACCTTGGAGGCAGAGACTAGTCTGGAGTGGGTTTTCAAAGATGTGGAGCTGAGTTGGAGAGAAATCATGTGAGGAGGCATCACTGGGGAAGGGTTTTTTTTTTTTCTCACAGAAATGAATGTAGGGACTCGATGGTTTGCAGAAAGAGTACAGGCTTGGGTGTCAGACACAGGGTCACACTGTCCCTGCCAGTCACCTGCTATTGGACTGTGGGCTGGGAGGGGATAACCTCTGAAAGCCCAACTTCCTCATCAGATTCCACACTGAAGATTTCTCTGAGGACTAGTTAGCTTATGTAGAGTGGCACGTATTAAGCAGGGCATTATGTGTACTGATCGTGGGATATATAGGGATCTGGGGGAGGCATCTGTTAGCAAAGGGGAAAGGAAAATGCTGAGCATGTGGACTGGTCTTTGGAGGGTCTGGAGTGCTGTCCGTTGGCTTGAAGGTTTGACAGCTGGGCTAGCTGCTATAAGTTTGCATCTGATTTTCTCCAGGCTGGGCTGTGACTCACCATCAGGGCTGGAGCTCCAGACATTTTGCAGGGCTCTGCTGCAACCACTTCCTGTTGTGCTGGAAGTTTGTTTCACACTGGAGCCATTGGGTAGCTGTCCAGGGGGCCCCTTAGCTGCTGGCCTCACCAAATCCCTCACCCTGTGCAGCTGGGTCCAGAGGGCCTGCCTCCCCCCCCCCCCCC